TAGTACATCATCAATGTTCACCACCTTATGACGTACAATGTAGTACATCATCAATGTTCACCACCTTATGACGTACAATGTAGTACATCATCAATGTTCACCACCTTATGACGTACAATGTAGTACATCATCAATGTTCACCACCTTATGACGTACAATGTAGTACATCATCAATGTTCACCACCTTATGACGTACAATGTAGTACATCATCAATGTTCACCACCTTATGACGTACAATGTAGTACATCATCAATGTTCACCACCTTATGACGTACAATGTAGTACATCATCAATGTTCACCACCTTATGACGTACAATGTAGTACATCATCAATGTTCACCACCTTATGACGTACAATGTAGTACATCATCAATGTTCACCACCTTATGACGTACAATGTAGTACATCATCAATGTTCACCACCTTATGACGTACAATGTAGTACATCATCAATGTTCACCACCTTATGACGTACAATGTAGTACATCATCAATGTTCACCACCTTATGACGTACAATGTAGTACATCATCAATGTTCACCACCTTATGACGTACAATGTAGTACATCATCAATGTTCACCACCTTATGACGTACAATGTAGTACATCATCAATGTTCACCACCTTATGACGTACAATGTAGTACATCATCAATGTTCACCACCTTATGACGTACAATGTAGTACATCATCAATGTTCACCACCTTATGACGTACAATGTAGTACATCATCAATGTTCACCACCTTATGACGTACAATGTAGTACATCATCAATGTTCACCACCTTATGACGTACAATGTAGTACATCATCAATGTTCACCACCTTATGACGTACAATGTAGTACATCATCAATGTTCACCACCTTATGACGTACAATGTAGTACATCATCAATGTTCACCACCTTATGACGTACAATGTAGTACATCATCAATGTTCACCACCTTATGACGTACAATGTAGTACATCATCAATGTTCACCACCTTATGACGTACAATGTAGTACATCATCAATGTTCACCACCTTATGACGTACAATGTAGTACATCATCAATGTTCACCACCTTATGACGTACAATGTAGTACATCATCAATGTTCACCACCTTATGACGTACAATGTAGTACATCATCAATGTTCACCACCTTATGACGTACAATGTAGTACATCATCAATGTTCACCACCTTATGACGTACAATGTAGTACATCATCAATGTACCTCACCTTATGACGTACAATGTAGTACATCATCAATGTGCATCACCTTATGACGTACAATGTAGTACACTATCAATGTTCACCACCTTATGACGTACAATGTAGTACATCATCGATGTTCACCACCTTACGACGTACAGTGTAGTACACTATCAATGTACCTCACCTTATGACGTACAATGTAGTACATCATCAATGTTCACCACATTATGACGACCAATGTAGTACATCATCAATGTTCACCACCTTACGACGTACAATGTAGTACATCATCAATGTTCACCATCTTATGACGTACAATATAGTACACTCTCAATGTTCACCACTTTTTGACGTAGTACACCATCATTGTTCACCACCTTATGACGTAGTACACTATCAATGTTCACCACCTTATGACGTATTAAAACAGCATTGTTTATCACCTTATGACATATACAAATCGCCAGGAATAAAGAAAGTAAGAAAACAGCGTATTAGAAATGTAGAAAGGAAAACAAGTACACCTTTTAAACACTATTTTTTATTGTTGTATTTTTCTATTGCAGACTCGTATGATAAGTACAAAAAAAAACCTGATATATCACCACATAGAATTTCAACAACAGAGGAAACACTGCTTTAGAACTTTATATATAGTAAAATTACAACTTTTGAAAACAGAACACATTTTTCATACTTACTTACCGATCAAATTAAAGTCTTCGGCAGACATTCATTAACTTCATACTACATCATCTTATTAAAATGAGGATATTATTTTAATGGTACCGTGCCACTGTTTGTTCTCAGTTGCAAACTAAAACTTGTGTTTTGTAGACATTAGGGGAGACAACTGACAAACGTTCATGTCGGCCACAATTTTTTCGATTACGCAAACAGTGGTGACGTCACACCTTAGTACACACAATGTACAGACAATTGCCGACTACTACATATTCCGTTAACACCACACTCAGTGTGTGCAACTTGTAAAAGATGTAAAACAAAAAACAAAAAAACAAAAATTCTCTGACCCAGTCGAGCAAATAGTCGCCATTCGTTTGATTCTATTCTCTGGACATCTCGCGAAGTCCTGTATACAAGATAATAACGTAAACATGGCTTCAACTCTGCGCCTGATGAGATAAGTAGCAGTCGGTAAAAGGCTTTAATATTTAGTAAGTCATTGTAATTTTAAATCTTTTCATACAAAGTATACTTATATTACTTAATAACTGTAATGAAGTCAATTTTAACCACAGTTTTTCCGATATATTGCGGCACGGTAACTTTACACTGCAGTTTTAGATATGTCTTAGTTCACGGATATTTACAGTGCCACGAGAAATATCACTGATTGATAGCCTTGTCAGTAACACAACTAGAACTCAAGAATAAAGATCATGTGCAACAACGTTATAGGACGACGGGCAGTTGGATGTTTATACAATTTCAAAACATACTTCTCTTTACCACAGGAGAGGAGTGAGACAAATAATCATCTGAACATAATAACCATATACCCAAACCGAAAGACATTACAATACAATCTCACTCACGTCCCTGTTCAACTACGAATGTACGAATGCAAATTTAATTCCAGATCAGATTAATCTCCTTTGGAATAAGGCTGTGACTAACATCTGACATGTGATTAGATAGAGATGCATTATGATGCCATTATTTGCCATATGAATGATGCTTTCAATATAGTGATCTTAAAAATGAAGAGTATGGATCTACATGTTGGTTCAACACAATCAAAAATTAAACGGGGGGCGGGGGCGGGGGGTAGATTACTAACATCATACACATGAACGGCCTTAGCTCCATTAGAGCCACTCATGTGCTTTTCCTTGCATGTATATGTAGTATTTAGAATAAAAGAACACAAGACATTCTAACTAATCATTTTTTGTTATCTTTGTGAAGTTTAGTGAACTTGTCAATAAACACTATAAATGACAAAGAATGGCTCTAGCTAAGGGTACTCAATATTAACAATAGTGCTACCGACGAAATGTATTAACAAGATTGGTTAATGATCCTTGCGCCAGGTATTATGGGATGGGTAAGCGTTCATTAAATAAGAATTGGGCAAATGAATGAAATAACTAATTCCCCGACGATATCAATGGCGACCATAAAACTTGGCAAAAGTCCTCATCGTTCTTTATTTCTCGTAACCTGCATTGTATGTTTGTCCGCCAGTAATCGCCATTCTGGTTTGAATTCATGATATTTGCAGCAAATATGTGGACACATGATTTGACAACTGCAACATGTAAACATCGTATGCTTTTGATGTAAGAATGTTACTATCAAGATAGGGCAAGTTCATAATCGGTAAGTCGAAATCGCTTAACTTATCATACTGCTATGTGGTAAGCTGTCCCCGTTGGCATGATGTTAATAAAGTCGATCAAAAAGCTGACATACAATATGATGTTGTGTCGTTGATTTTAAGGTCAGGTTAAGATGTGCTATCGACATGACCGGACATCCGCGGGATATCTAAACTGAAAATTGAAGAACGTGGAAAGGTTTTTGTTTTGTTAAATTTTCCAATGAACTCACCATCATAGTCAGCACACACGTATCTGCCAGAACGGGGACCAGGATGAATATGTACATTTTGTTTGGAAATTCTGCCTTCTAATTATGCCGCAGTCACACATTCACAGATCAGACGCCAGATTAGCCACGGATACGATATGGCATCATTCGTGGCAATATGTAGTGGTTCGTAGCTGTCCGTATTGTATTCTAAATCAATCGTAGTGGTACTTGTTTATCCGTGACACATTCTGAGCCAGGATCAGACAACCGTAGTACATCCTTAATGGTCCGTAATAGAACGTACTAATCCGTTGTTATAATAAACCGTAATTATCCGTATTTATTCGTAGTACATTCCCGGTCTCAAGTCGCAAATGATTAGTACAGTTAGCTACGGAGAACTACGTACTTATACTAACCTGTACTAAAATTAAAATTAGGTTGTGGAATGAACTCGCGAGCGCAGGAGTTTGTATACAGTTTGCGTATGCTCCGGTTACACAATCACGGATCGGAAGCCGGATTAGCCACGGGTACGATCCGGCATCATTCGTGGCAATCTGTAGTGGTCCGTAGCCATCCTTATTGTATCCTGAGTCAAGTGTAGTAGTACTTATGTATCCGTGACAATTTTTGAACATGTTGAAACATTCACCACGGATCAGACAACCGTAGTACATCCTTACTGATCCGTAGTAGAACGTACTTATCCGTTGTAGTCCGTAATAAACCGTAATTATCCGTACTTATTCGTAGTACATCCCCGGCCTCAAGTCGCTAAGGATCGGTGCGGTTGCCAACTAGCCCCTATCCGTAGTCAAACTGTGTTGCATCCATAGCGGACCACGGATATAGATTAATCCGAGTTTCCATCCGTTGTGAATCCGGCGAGACGATCCGTAAATGTGTGACCGGGGCGTTATTAAAGTCAACATAGATATCTCCAACTCAATCGTCCTAAGTTTGGATGCTAAAAATAGTGTATTATCATACATTGTACATTCAAACCACTGTTCGGCGATCCTGAAAATGAAAGTTCTTCTAAGAGAGCTAAAGCTTTCCTTCAGTTAGGTATGAGACATGGTAAAGCAGAGTAAAGAGACGTTTATTGAAAGAAGTTTTGATGAGAGAAACTTTAAGTAATTAGTAAAACCTTTGGAGTTTTTCAAAATCCATATTCAAGAAATTCCACGTCCTAGTTAACAGTTTCACAATCGAATAGTGTTGTAACTCATGTTGTTTTACTTTTTCCTGAGCATCATCCTGACTGTTTTAACTGTTACGTACATGGTGCTGTTGGCGTAGAAATGAAGCCAAACCATGGATGTATAGGCATTTTTTGACATGTATTTCCCAAACAAATTGGAGTCAAGGCAATTTTTATACCACCATGCTCCGTGTGCAGTTATAGCACAATTGTCGCCGCTATCATTGTCGTTGTCAAAGGTGGAGAAAGGCCGGCCATTGTGGTAATCGAGGGCGTCATCTATAATTTTACATGCAAATTTTTTTTTATTAAAGGATTAAAACGCAATTCTTGCATTAATCTTAGCTTATATAAGCATAGCATTGTTATCAATTTCATATATTTAGATGAATTTTGTTCGTTAAAATTGAGAAGAGAGCTTTCATTTTCTTAAGCTTTACGTACAGATTGTTATCTAAAAACTAATAAAAATGTCCGTAATTAAAAAATGAGAAAATGATTAAGTTTATTGCAAATTTGTATGCCAAAACTTAAGGTATTCATTTTGGAATGTCAACTTACATAGTCTGTCTGGCGAGCTGTATTCGCCAATAGTCAAAGTGTATTCAGAAGCCTCGTCAGAAAGATCGAAAGTATCGTATTCTACATATTTAAGAGGGCCACTCCATCCTTCCATTTCAATCCGAAGCTTCATTTTCTGGGCTAGTAGTAGTCTTACATTCTCGAAACCTAAGGTGATGAACACACAAATATGTGATAATGGTAGATTGTAGCTTATTTATAATTAGCTAAGTACCTTCAGGTAATCTGGCGTTTCTGTTGTTCTATTTTGATCATGAATACAAAATCATATCAAGGTCAAAAACATGAAAAAAAATATGTGTATACAAAAAGGAAACTTTCCAACAGTTTTGTAAAGAGGTATGGCGGAAAACTGCCCGTATTTCCCTAAGTCGGCATTTATGAAAACAGGAAAAAAAATTAAGAACTTAAACTTTTCGTGTAGCAAAAATGCATACAAAAGATACAAAAGCAAATTGAATATGAATTTTTAAACTGCTGAGAAATTAGGTATTGCTAATATGATACTGCAAATATAGCCATATACACTATATCTATGAAAGTGATGGGGTTTCCCGGAGTTAAAATAATACTTTCAACACTTTCCCATCCGAGGACCAACTTTTGAATGATTTTTTGTGTGACCCGTGATGTAATATGCAAAAACAAATCGTATTACGGAAAAGTGGTCCTCCTTTGGGAAAGTGCTCAAAATAATGAAAAACAGGGGTGATCAAGTTTCTCTAAACTGCGACCGGTGTTTCTCGGGTTAAATAAGTTTGTAATTGCCAATATCTATATGTTTTAAGTAGCCGAATGTGTAAAGCAGTTTACTTGCGACTAGAAAATAAACGGTGCACGTTCGAATCCTCCTTCAGTTATTTTTTTTTTAAATCTTTAGGCATGTGATCATTTTCCTTAATAAGGCAATGGTGGTTTTAATTAAATCGATGGAAGATTTTGTTTACATTTTAATAACATACCTATTGATTTATCAGTTTTGTTAGTAATAATTTCTTTACTATTTAGTGCATCATACTTCTATCGAAGCATGTCAACACATCCCTGAACACATGTACAGTACAGCTACGTTTTGTAGGTAAGACACTATTTTTGATGAAATTTATGAATTGTTTTACCCTCCAACTGGCAATAGTAATTATATCAAGTGCTTAAACACCAACAAATAATGCCGAAATACCAAATATGTGGTCTGCTTACAATAATCTATTCTTAGACACGGGATTCCGATATTGCTACCTGTATAAAAATACCTGAGGACGCGTCATAACAGTGCACAGTTGGATGCGCGCACTAGCGTAACATAGCTTTGGGGAAATAGGCATAGTAACCCGCCATATCTCTTTGAACTATTTTTCAGATTTTTTTTTATTTATATTAAGGATAATCATAATGCTATGGACTTTTAGGTTACTATTATGACCTCATACCTAGCCAGAACTCTCCAGTCAAACTTCCAAAACCACTCTTGTACTCATTCCAAGACTTGTAAAAGTCAACTGATCCGTCGTATCTGCTGGCGATAATCTGGTGGATGAATGTAAATGTCGTTATAGAAAATACATATACAATTTCAATTTTAATTGTTACTAGCTTTTCTTCTTTCACAAAGATTATTTCAAAGTAAAATCATTTAAACGATACCATTAATAGGAAGGATTTGAATAAAACTAGTAGTATATAAAAAATAAGATAAAATAAATAAATAAATAAAAATGAAAAAGTAAATAAAAAACATAAGTTATACAAGTTTGAAACAAGGTAATTAGCATGTAATTCCGAATGATGTGATATCTACGTTGAGGTACTCCGAACAACTCACCGTCCACGGTCCTCCGACTGTGTCCATATCACAAAACACATCAACGTTACTGCCGGCAGGTGTAAGGGTATACACTCCTGAACAATGGACTGTTGGGACATCTCCACAGTTATTTAAAGCTTAAGTTAAAATAGAAAATAATTTGAAACAACAATAACCCCGATATAATTAATCATATTCACATAACATGTTCACAAATCTAATCAGAAACTTTCGACTATCAAAATATGCCTATTACATAAATAGAACATTACTTACATAACAATAGAAAATATTAAAAGTATAATTTACAGAAATGAGAATATTATACAATTACAGGAAAACCTTCTGAACATTAAAAATCCACCGGAGGCGAACCAAAGGACCATACGTTAAGTACGCACGTCACACTTCAACCACAAAGACTCAGGGAGGGAACTAAAGAGGGAACAATACACTATATGTAATTTATATATATATATATATATATGTGTGTGTGTTATTATTGCAGATCAGACTTGGACAAATTGAATTAACAAATCTAGGATTACCTTCTTCACGTACTTGTTTGGGTTTGTTGCTATAGCGTTAGGGTTCATTAGGCCTTTTGACCCACAAAACTACTTCATTAGGGGTTTCAAACGGAGATGGTTCTATCGATTCTTTATACGTTTTCAAATTAAGAAATCATTATTTTTTAGCATGTCTGATTAAAGAAAAAAAATGTTTTAAAATGTGGATGACCTGTTAATTTCTGGCGTTAATAGAATACACAAAGACATACGCCACGTGCTGCTTGGGAGTTTCTGAAAATTCACGACTATTTATTCTATGTTGTATCATTATACGAATGTAACGTTTTGAACATTATCAGCTCAGAGTACCATCATGAATGAGGCTGATAAGAGGGTTTACTATGAAATACAATCATATATGAATCCACTTCGTTTGGAGACCCTAAATGCGTAATTAGTCTTTGTTGCTGAAAGTTGAACCCTTAACTTCAAACAGTAGTCAAAGTTATGCAGGTGTCACAGACATCCTTGCCCATCATACTTACTAACACATTGCACTATATTTGTGTAGTATCTGATTGCAAGCAACAGTTTGATAATTAAATAACTCAATGTAGAGAACCAAACAAATTAGTTGTTATAAGACTATTTCGTTCATTTATGACTCACCAATAATACTTAATGCTAAAGGAATAACAAAGATCCATATTATACTTACAGTCAAGCTGGACTACCTTCGTGTAGAATCTGAGTGAAGATGACTCGACACCATCGTCCCTGTAACAAATCTCCTCCTCATACGTCTTACATTCCTTTGTTGTAGAGCTGAAGGAGAAGGACATACACCGGGAGGTATCGCATGTACTAGCACATCCCAACTTGGAGTTCCAGGACGACGTCCTTAAAACTGACCCCGCGTGGTTCTGTTCTATCGTTTTCGTTACTTCTCTGTATTTTTCGTCAGTACATGTAGCTGTTGCCGAATGCATTTGTAAAAAGGTTGCAAGTATATACACTAAATAAAGGTGCACTTCATAGTTTAAACGAGATACAGTTTTGGACAGATCCATTATCTTGGCCAAATTTCATAACATGTGAAAGTACTTATCTATTTGGAAGATTTGAACAGTTAAAAACAATATATTATCTAGTGCAGAGTTCTGATAAACAGTCGAATAGTAAGAAGCTATAAATACACAGAAGGATATTTTGTACAGAATATCGCTCATGGATACAAGTTCAACGCGTCCGGTTAGACTATCCTGTCGTTGTGTGGTAAGAATTTACCTTTAACACAGTCCCTACGTCGACACCCGATGAATACGACAAAGATGTGCATGTCTCTACTGAGTAGCCAATCACAATCGTATATTTGAAAACGCCTTGCTATTAATAACGGCTGATGAACGAGTATAAAATCGTTACACCTGTATATTTAAATTAAATAACATACTAATTGCAATGATACACGACTTCGTGTATTCATCCGAATACATTGTTCTTATCTTGAAATGTAAAAATTAAGTACAATAGAAAACGTGCCTCAAGTATTCCCGGCTTTTGTGTACCAAATGAGCCTTAAGATCTCATATTCTAACGATTTCTTCCTCATGTTGTTTCCATCGTCTGTTTACCAATAGTAGTCACAGTCTGCCACAGTTTACTGAGAATCAGTTGCACGAAAAATGTTACCAAAGCCACGCTCTTGCGTCCAACCCAAAATTAACAGTGCTCCTCTACTTGTTGAAGTTCTATTTTTAAAGAGGTTATACAATGTACACTTTCCGTGCTGTTTGAATAGCAGTTATGATCAATTCTGAGTTCAACCGTTTGACACATACCATCATCTACAAGTCGAAAGAGGACAAAACAGCTCTTTGACGCAGGGTCATTCATTTTCGGCATACTGTATCTATAACAAATTTGATAGAAGCAGTCACATATGTGTGCCTTAAATTCGATTATTAGATTCTATTCAGTCGAATTAAACAGCAAAATAATGACAAATGCAAGATTAGAAATAGATATAGCTGTTTGCAGTTAGCTGCTAATCAATAATCGTACGCTCCGCTTACGCGATTATGCATTATTAAAGTAGTTTTCCTGCTAGCGTCTAATAAATAATGAAATGATACGACGTTTAAATATAAAATCGTCACAATCCACTTCCTGTGAAACTGTATTAGCTTAATTACGATGATCTGTGCTAACGCAGACTAGATCACTTCCTCGTTAATACAATGGAATATGCAAGCATTAAGTTAGTAAAAAAAATCCCACAAAAGTTCAATAACATAATTCAGTGCATTCTGGAATTGCAGAGGCTACGCTCACTTACGTTATCTACACCTCTGGAACATGCCATGTCAAACTCAAAGTTAACTTCATACTGAACATGTCATTTCCAGTCAACGTGTTCGCTTTTATGTTAATCGTTTTCACACGGCAATGGTATTGTTTTTAAAAAATCGATGATATCAGTGAAACACCCTTTTATGGAAAGTGATTTAATGCTGTTTGTTTTGTGTCGGCAAAACTTATAACACGTGTACCACTGTTTCATGATTAATTTATTGTAGTAGCTTTGGTGATAAAGTTGTTTGTGTATATTTTCTTCAACAAAATGTTGCTATTCCATATATATATTTAGTTCATACAACATGTACATGAATACAGGATATGTCTCCCAATGATATTCGTTAAAAAGACATTCATGCGTCAACCTGTGAACATAAAACTTACTGTAAAATGGGATTTTTGTTTTGCGATGTTGAAATGATCGAGGTTTCTTCACGTTTGGTAAATCAGCGAAACATATCCACATGCAAATATTTACTTGAACATTATATAAATCATAGATTTCTAAATTTCAGAACCGTTACAATCGATCAGATAAAAGAGTCAAAACATAAATATGTCCACTTGATAGAATTTCCAATTTACAGTACATGTAGATCAAAATCAAATCGATTTTGGGTGGTCGGGTAGTGCAGGGGATAGCGCACTTGCCTTTCACTAAGGCTACGTGGGTTTTCTCCGGGTACTCTGGTTTCCTCCCACACTAAGACCCCCGCTCGCTCACTTCCGGTGTCATCAGTCTCGTAAATCAGCGTCCAATGATTGATATATGCCAGGTGACATATTACACTATAAATTGGAGTGTTACATTACAGTACAAACGTAAGTATTATACTTAATACTAAGGTGACACATTACACTATAAATTGGAGTGTTACATTACAGTACAAACGTAAGTGTTATACTTAATACTAAGGTGACACATTACACTATAAATTGGAGTGTTACATTACACTACATACTGAAGAGCAATGTTTGATACTTAGGTGACACATTACACTATAAGTTGGAGTGTTACATTCCACTACATACTGAAGAGTTAAACTTAATACGAAGATGACACATTACACTATAAATGGAAGTGTTACATTACACTACATACTGAAGTGCAATACTTAATACTAAGGTGACACATAACACTATAGTTGGAGTGTTACATTACACTACATACTGATGTGCAATACTTAATACTAAGGTGACACATAACACTATAGTTAGAGTGTTACATTACACTACATACTGAAGTGCAATACTTAATACTAAGGTGACACGGAACACTATAAATTGGAGTGTTACATTACACTACATACTGAAGTGCAATACAAAATACTAAGGTGACACATAACACTATAAATGGAAGTGTTACATTACACTACATACTGAAGTGCAATACTTAATACTAAGGTGACACATTACACTATAAATGGAAGTGTTACATTCCACTACATACTGAAGTGCAATACTTAATACTAAGGTGGCACATTACACTATAAATGGAAGGGTTACATTACACTACATACTGAAGTGCAATACTTAATATTAAGTAGACACATTACACTACAAATGGAAGTGTTACATTCCACTACATACTGAGGTGTTGTACTTCATACTAAGGTGACATATAACACTATAGTTGGAGTGTTACATTACATTACATACTGAAGTGCAATATTTTATACTAAGGAGACACATTACACTATAATCAGAGTATTACATTACACTACATACTGAAGTGTTATACTTATCCTAAGGTGACACGTTTCACTATAAATTGGAGTGTTACATTACACTACATACTGAAGTGCAATACTTAATACTAAGGTGACACATTACACCATAAATTAGAGTGTTACAGTCCACTACATACTAAAGTGATATACCTAATACTAAGGTGACACATTACACTAACAATTGGAGTGTTACATTATACTACATACTGAAGTGTAACATTTAAACTGTAGTGACACTTTACTCCATATATTGAAGTGTTACATTACACTACATACTGAAGTGCAATACTTTATACTAAGGTGACACATTACACTATAAATTGGAGTGTTACATTACACTACATACTGAAGTGCAATATTTAATACTAAGATGACAAATAACACTATATATGGAAGTGTTACATTACACTACATACTGAAGTGCAATATATAATACTAAGGTGACACATTACAATATAAATGGAAGTGTTACATTACACTACATACTGAAGTGCAATACTTAATACTAAGTAGACACATCACACTACAAGTGGAAGTGTTACATTCCACTACATACTGAGGTGTTGTACTTCATACTAAGGTGACACATAACACTATAGTTGGAGTGTTACATTACATTACATACTGAAGTGCAATATTTTATACTAAGGAGACACATTACACTATAGTTGGAGTGTTACATTACACTACATACTAAAGTGCAATACTTAATATTAAGGTGACACATTACACTATAATCAGAGTGTTACATTACACTACATACTGAAGTGTTATACTTATCGTAAGGTGACACATTACACCATAGATAGGAGTGTCACATTACACTACATACTGAAGTGCAATACTTAATACTAAAGTGACACATTACACCATAAATTGGAGTGTTACATTACACTACATACTAAAGTGTTATACCTAATACTAAGGTGACACGTTACACTATAAATTGGAGTGTTACATTATACTACATACTGAAGTGCAATACTTAATACTAAGGTGACACATTACACCATAAATTAGAGTGTTACAGTCCACTACATACTGAAGTGTTATACCTAATACTAAGGTGACGCGTTACACTATAAATTGGAGTGTTACATTACACTACATACTGAAGTGCAATACTTAATACTAAGGTGACACATTACACCATAAATTAGAGTGTTACAGTCCACTACATACTAAAGTTTTATACCTAATACTAAGGTGACACATTACACTAACAATTGGAGTGTTACATTATACAACATACTGAAGTGTAACATTTAAACTGTAGTGACACTTTACTCCATATATTGAAGTGTTACATTACACTACATACTGAAGTGCAATACTTTATACTAAGGTGACACATTACACTATAAATTGGAGTGTTACATTACACTACATACTGAAATGCAATATTTAATACTAAGATGACAAATAACACTATAAATGGAAGTGTTACATTACACTACATACTGAAGTGCAATATTTAATACTAAGGTGACACATAACACTATAAATGGAAGTGTTACATTACACTACATACTGAAGTGCAATATTTAATACTAAGGTGACACATTACACTATAAATGGAAGTGTTACATTACACTACATACTAAAGTGCAATATTTAATACTAAGATGACACATTACACTATAAATGGAAGTGTTACATTACACTACATACTGAAGTGTAATACTTAATATTAAGGTGACACATTACACTATAAATGGAAGTGTTACATTACACTACATACTGAAGTGTAATATTTAATAGACACATTACACTGTAAATGGAAGTGTTACATTACACTACATACTGAAGTGCAATACTTAATATTAAGGTGACAAATAACACTATAAATGGAAGTGTTACATTACACTACATACTGAAGTGCAATACTTAATACTAAGGTG